CGGGATGCACCTCGAGCCTCCTCCCCGCCCCGCCACCCCCCCAGTGACCTAGTGCTCCTGGCATCCTCACCTCCGCCGGGCAGCTCGGGGGGCTCCCGGGGCTCGGCGCCCCCTGGGGAGACCAGGCACAACTTGGAGAGGGAGGAGTACAGCATGCTGGCCGACCTGCCCCCGCCCAGGAGGCTGGCGCAGAGGGAGCCAGGCCCCCAGTGCGGCAACGGGGGCCGTACCCGCAGCCCTGGCCGCGCAGAGGTGGAGCGCCTCTTCGGGCAAGAGCGCAGGTGAGCTCAGGGCGGGGTCAGCCAGGCGGGGTGGGGAGGAGGCTCGGCAGCAGGACAGGTGGAAGGTTCACAGGCTTAGGTTGGCAGGTGGAAAGGGTTCAGACGCCCCACCCTGCCACTTACTGGCTGTGTGACCTTGGGCAAGTCACTTCATCTCTGTTTCCACATTTTCAGAGGTGTGTGTGTGTGTGTGTGTGTGTGTGTGTGTTTTGACAACCAAGTGATGCTATGTGTAGCCTAGTGGTTAAGAGCAATAGACCAGGGTCAGGCGGGCTGGGGGTCAAATCCTGGGTCAAGTCTAACTCCCCAACCTATGGGATCTGGTAAAGTGATTTAACCTACCTGAGCCTCAGTTTCCTCATCTGTAAAATGGGGAGAACGTTAGTATGTTAATTTAAATAAGGTTTTTGCTTTTTTGTGTGTTTCTCTTTATTGTTGAGAGAGAGACAGAGACAGAGACAGAGCGTGAGCAGGGGAGGGGCCGAGAGAGAGGGAGACACAGGATCAGAAGCAGGCTCCAGGCTCTGAGCTGTCAGCACAGAGCCTGACAAGGGGCTCGAACCCGTGACCTGCCAAAGTTGGACGCTTACCTGACTGAGCCCCCCGGGCACCCTTAATTTAAATAAGGTTTAACTCTCAAACCCTTTGCTTGATCCAGAATCATAGGTTTATTTTATTTTTTCCTTCTTACATGAGGGAGGAAAAACTACCCATGCTTCTTTTCTGCTTTCACAAAGGAAACTCATGGGTCCCCATGCGTTTCAGAAAACAGAGAGATGTCAATTTAAAACGAATGGCCAAAGCCACCTACTTTAAATAAGAGAACGCACAGCATTACAAATTTTTTAGAAGTTAAAGGTCGCTTTCCTGGGACGTGGCGACAATGCCTGAAGTCCGGGTATTTTATGAGTCTCCTCCTCCCGAGTGCTGCGCGGGCCGTTTATGGCCCCACACCGTCTGCTTTGCCACAGCTGCGGGGAAAGGAAACATTTCCTCCCGATCTGGCTGAGATTTCTTTCTCCAGCCGTTCCAGCCTCCGAGTTTTCAAGGATCGGGGCTGGAATGCCATTAGTTAAGGTCAAGAGAACAAAAAGTTGGTCTGGAAGGCTCAAACTTACAGCGTATAATTCAATGAATTACAGCGTATTTACTAAGCCTGAGTTGCACAGCCACGCACAACCTAATTTTAGAACCTTTCCATCACCCTAGGAGCGGGTAATATTTTGCATTCCAGAATTCCTCTTTGTTTTCCTTTAGGCAATATTGTCTCTTAGGTTGGACTCTACTTGAGAAACCTTATCTCTTACTCTTCAAATTTCCTTTTCCAGTAAGTTTTATCCATTTAGTACCCAGGTGACCACCTTTGTGGTCCCCGGCATTAGCGTAATTCTTTCTTTGGCCTTTTTGAAAAACACATTAAGAAATTTTTTAGAGCAGTTTAAAAAAAAAATTTTTTTTAAGTTTATTTATTTTTGAGGGAGAGAGAGAATCCCAAGCAGGCTCTGCACTGTCAGCATGGAGCCCGATGTGGGGCTCGATCTCATAAACCCTGAGATCCTGACCTGAGCTGAAACCAAGAGTCAGACACTTCACCGACTGAGCCACCCAGGCGCCCCTAGGAGCGGTTTTA